CTCCATTAATGGTCCAGTCCAATGTTCCTTATAGAGTAGCATTAGGGAACTGATGTGCATGCGTGGCAAATGCCCTCCATCCAGGCTTCTCCATAGGAAAACATTGAAATTGATGATTTCCTATGAGCTTCCTCATCACGTCACCAAGAACTGCAAAAGTGCATTTAGTGGCTTTTTCTAAAATAACTGCAGTGTTTTACATTACAGGCTTAAATGGACAAGGGCACTGCTCCCAGACCACTTCATTGAAAAGAAGTGGTGTAGGTGACTTTAGCGTGCCCTGCGTGGCCAAAACATCACCTTTTTCTTTGGCACCTTAAATAAAAGATGTTAGGATTGAAAGGTTTGTGCCGGACAGTTCTATTTTTCTGTATTGCTGTTGGCTGTGGTCGGAGCTGGGGTCTGTGCACCCTATGTTGTCTAGAACCTTTCTGTTATTATTCCCTTTAAATTCTTGCATGAATGCATTTATTCAAGTCCAGACACAAGTTATATTGGATTTTTAATTTTTATTTATTTATTTTTAATCCTTTTTTTCCCCCCGGAGCAAAATAGGTTTGGGTTTTATAGCCCTAAAATTGTTACGTTAATATACACGACTGTAGAAACAGTTTAATTTATTCATATAAATGTAACCACTATATATGGAAGTACTAGAACATTCTATGTCATTTTAGGAAAACTGAGGTAATAAAGTTACATGATTTGTGAACATGGCATTTGTGCAGGTGAATGTATAGAGTATTGATTTATATGTCTAGTAAAGAGCAAAAGTGAGCGTGCATCCTAAGTATAGAACATTGATAAAGAAAACACACCACATTCTTCACCAAAATCTGCTATTTTGTCTACTATAGTCAGTATTTAAATGTAGATTAGGGTATCATCATCAGTGCAAAATGTGACCGCAATTCTTATAGATACCTTCAATTTCAGGCAAGAGTATCCAAGTCATAATATTAAGGTCTGTGCTACTGAGATAAAATTCCTGGCAGAGGGGCTGGATTGAAAGGTTAGCAGTCACTGCCTGGGATTGTAACCCCCAATAATCTAAGGCAGGCTAGGATATGCATGTCCTAATACAGTGCAGAGATTAGTGGTTACTCACGCTGCACACCATCAGTCAAGCGGTGCATCACAGATAATAATGCACAGATGGTGTCACCCACCATGCAGTGAAAGCGTGATCTGATAATAATGAATTAATGGGCAGATCATAAATACATCAAGATATTTTTTTACTTTAGAGCCATTTTTTAAGTTTAACTTAGCTGCTAGTATTAAACAATGGTTAAACAGAATCAAAATAGAAATATATAAATATAGTATTTCACATGTCTGGTTCATGAAGCCTGTTATAACATTAACAGATTAAGAGTATAGATTTCTTTTGTAAACCATGGATAACTTGAATATATGTATTATGTGAGACTCTAGTAAATCAGGATCATCTTGTCTGACTCAGAAAACCATAATATTTTGCAGTGTCTGGTATTTGTGGAGGTTGCATACTGTATTGCATATCTACACCTCTCGACTACACTAACAGTCCTTTCATCACTACATGGAGTATTAAGAGATCAGAGATTTGTCAAATTTTTCTAATGACTTAACTGGTGTGTCATTGGCAACACCTCAAATGTCAAAGGCAGGACACCAAAGATTGAGTTACATCAGAAAAGACTGTGGGGCAATTAGCTGGCCAACCATGTCGAATTTTTTTCCCCCCAGCAAATTAAGAAACAAACCTTACAAAATGAATGAGACTCTATGTTGTTAAACCACTGTAGCTGAGTAGTTTGTTCAGTCCGTGCACAAATGGACAACTGTATAAATATTAATGTATTTCAAGCTTTATCAAAAATAGGGTGTTTGAATCTTGGCTTGACCTGCATAATCCCAGAGTATTTTTGCATAATCACTTAGTTAAAGGATTAATTCAAGCACTATCACCAGGTCATTGTTTTGAAGTCATGATGATGCATGGACCATGTATGTGCAGAGATTCAGTACGAAATGCTGCGCATGCTGAGATATTGTAGGCAACTGCCGGAGGTGTAACTTCACCACTGTGTTCTGTCTTTAGCCAGCCCTGAATGACCTGGCTGGTTCTGGGCTGGCAACTATAAATTCTGTGCCTGTCCTATGAGAAGGTGCTCCTTCATTGGCAGCAAGCAGCCTGTTGATGCTCTCAGCCAATGAATGAACGGAAGTATTGGCATTCAGTTTCTGCATTTCCGCAGTTTGCTCTTTCTAGGGAACAGCGCCAGGGTACCCAATCGGTTTTGGTGTACATCACTGCTTACCATGAAAATGGTTGGTGTATGCTGAAACCAGTCTGTTAAGGAAACTCTGTAGAATTATAAATAAATGCATTAATTACATTTGAGTGCTGTAGAGTTTACTGTATCCCCCTCACCCTCTTTCCTTTAAAATAGAGGGTTAACCTAACGCTAATCTAACGGTGAGATGGTCTCTCACCGCAGCCCGGCTCCATCGCTGGGAGATACGATTTCCTGGCCAATACAGTGCATTGCTGCACCTGCAGTGGTTATCATCGAGAAATTTTAAAGCCATAGGTGTTGCTTGGGGGTAGGATTTGCGGATTATAACCCTGAAAATGGGGCTATTTAGCCCCAGTTCTCTACTGTTGGTGAAAGAGGCAGGAGGATACTGGTATTTTATTTTTTACTTTTAATTTTACATCTGCTATAAAAACAGAGATCAGTAGTGTCTCAGGCTACTTTGTGTCCCCCCTAGATGACTGTTGGGGGTGTCGGGGAACAGATCTTTGCTGTACACTTCTCTATTAGTTAGAAGGTGTGGTAGATCGCACTGAATACCTGGCGGTTGGTTTGTAATTGTTCCCGAGTTTGGTTTCATTGAGATCATGGAGAGCACCTGCAGCATGGAATTCGTGGATAGAAAAGAAAAAACATAAACTAGAAAGGCAGGGAAACATCATGACATATCCCCACCTCTCTGCTAGTGGAGAGGTCATATAGTTTTATTTTATTGGGGGCTCAAGCCCCAGGTATTTTTGGAACTGGCAATATTCCTGATTGAAACCAAGGCTTCTCTTTGAGAAACATTGCAGCGTACTTTGTGCCAGGATCTCAAATAAATCAGCTTGAGCACACTGCTGGCTGTCTGGTCGACAGCTGCGAGGTGCAAACTGTGAACAAAGCAAGGGTAAATAAAGTTCTGCAAAAATACATGATCGGAAACCAGTCTGAACATTATAATGGCGGAAGTTTTCAATGGCTTGTAGCCAAAAGTGAGTAGAAGATAACAATATTACTAAAAGTAATATTGTATGAAGGGCTGCACATATCTCTACTCTCCCATAAGAGCATGTATAAATACAGTTGTATTGTTCTGTCCCGTAGTAATGGAACCACCAAACAAGTCACTTCTAAGCTTGGAACTAATTAAATATTACAGCAGCAAGGTTGGAGGACAGGGATGAGTGAAACGGACTGTCGCGTTAAGGTCAAAATAGCTGAACTGGAAATATTCTCCAAATCGGCCTCGTTTCCAGTCTGGCTACTTTGGCCTCATACTTAAAATTTTCTTTGTATTGCTGACTATTCTCACTTTAGTGAATAGCCTTATAACTATAGTTCACACCATAGAGAACATTTAGATTACTTAAAAAATGTATGTAAAGCACCAATTAAAACATTGCCTTAACGGACTACTAACACTAATGTTGGCGTTTCCTCCACTATTTAGATCAAACCCTCCCCCCCCCCACTACTCCCAATTAAATAAATGTTTCTTAACTTTAGGCCCCTGGTGCCTTTTAACAGAAATGGCAGTGTTTACACTGCTGAGACTGCAGGGAAAGTCTGTTTGGCCCCAAATCTCTACATTAGGCTGTAGTGGTTATGGTGCCTGTAACGGAACCGCTGGAACCCCGACTGGGTACCTTCCACTGACGGATGCTCCTAGTGCTTTCCGAGGTCTCTAAGCACTCCACCTGACACCATAACCACTGCAGACCCCACGAACTGCCGCAACTTAGTTGGGGTCTCACCGTCTCCACCCACTCTGGACCCAAGACCAGGGTCCAGCTTCCAGTAGGTCGACCTCTCCAAATTCCAGAGAGCAGGAACAGGAACAAGCTCTTAGCAGAGCTTAGGGATCATACCCTGGGGAGTATAGTGATTATAGCAATCCCCAGAGTGTAGTTCTCCAATCCCCCAAACATGAGCCGAAACTTCATGAAGGTACAAGATTATCTGACTCCAATGAGCGTTTATTACTCCTTATATACAAGTTTTCAGGCCAGAGACACACCCCCTGGACCTGGTGGTAAACTGTGACAAAAGGGACACAAACCAATGGGAACACTAATTAACATAATAACACTCCCACATACACAATGAAATCCCTCCTCTCCATCCTGGAGATAATTGGCTTAAGGCACTTCAGTAAACTCAATTTTTTTCCAGGTACAGAAAATATCTACATTTTGCACTAACAGTAAAAGTACATAAAAATACATAATTCTTATTATATTACACAGAACCCCCATATTTAACCTATCCCCAGATAGCTCGGATCTGAGCGCCCAATCTAGGTGAACAGCGCTCAGATTCCATGAACAGAGTAAATTTGCCATGGGGTAAAGCATAGCAAGGGCTGTTGAGAAACCAAGGAGGGACAAAAGCAGTCAGTTCCAACCGGTTTGGCAGTGTGCCTGGGACAACGCCCTGCTGGAGAACAATAGACAGGAAACAGGGGAGGGAAAGAAACACACCTTCCCATGGATTCAAATGGGCAGAAACAGTCTTTAGAAGCCAATAAACCCCAAATAGTCTTTTTAAATGGCAATACACCCCAGGGCCATAGTCATGAGCAAGGAGGCTGGCAATCAGGCTCCTCCAACAGCCGGGGGCAAAGGGCAGCTTGTCACCTAACAATCCAGTGACAAAAGGCATTTCGTCACAGGGCCTAAGTGTCCCTTTAACTTTAAATGAGTTTGTCTCTCCCTACAATGGGTAGCTAATATTTAGTGTAAATTCCATCACTTTTCCATACTGTGTAGTATAATTTATAATATTAAATCATCCATATTTAGGGATTGTTGATACTTTGCTCCGTTTCACACTAATCAACGTACACAATCAAGTGAACTGAGAAAAACTAATTATTTACTTTTGAATTGATTTAACTGTTACTGAATTGCACTGCTTGGTTTAATCTGATATAATTTCTATTTCCCTGAAGTTGCAACTGTATTCCGAAGCAAGCGTTGCACTCCTGCAGTTGAATAATCCCAAAGATTTTCAAGAGCTCAACATACAGTCGAAGAAAAATATGACTATAGAAGGGAAGGAGCTAACTTTAAATCCAGCTTACTTGCTGTGGGATCTCAGTGCCGTCAGCCAGGTTTGTATGAAAGATAACCTACTACCTTCCATCTCTGGTTACCGAGAGGGATATGGAATAGCTTGAGAAACTGCCTTCTAAGAAAAATTATCTTCTAATTGACAGCTCTCTTAATTATAATTGGGGTCTCAAAGGTCAAATATCTTCTATTTTTATTTCTCTTTCATGGAGATCTAAACTGCTAAACAGAAAATTCATCCAGCCTGTGTTGTACGTGGCAAAATAGGTTAGTCAAGCCAAGATGAAATCAGGTACAAGAGCTCTCAACAAGTGGTTTAGGAAATGACAGCCGTGAACCGCAGTCTACGATGTATAGTCAGATAGTGCCCTACCAAACTGAATACAATCCTAATCTGTCCCTCGCTTCATCATGTAGTGACCGCATATGTGCTTTAGGTGGGGGTGTAACAAGATTGATTTATAAAAGTGACAATTTCTATTGAAAGCTATACTTTTAGCAACATTTTAGCACACACTAGAATGCTTTAGAGGTCTGAAGTGTCCCTTTAAAGTGCTGGATGTAATTTTGATTTAGGGGTGCCATTGAGGTAAACAAAATGATATTCTATAATCTCAAATGGGGACAAAAAAATGACTACACTAAAAAATTAACAGACCCTGAAATTGTGCCCTCTTTTCTTGTCACTTTGTAAAGTAGTTATGGTGGAAACTAGTATGTCACCACTATTTTTGCATTATCTCCATGATAGGTGATGTTAAAGGGACACTATAGGCACCCAGACAACTTCAGCTCATTTAAGTAATCTGGGTGCCTTGCCCCTCTCCCCTTAGCCCTGTTTGTCAAAACACAGGGCTAATCCCACCTCTAGTTGCTGTGTTTCAGAAAGCCACTAGATGGTGTTTCTGGAGTCTTACCGGACTAGAAGTGGCCTACCTAGAATATCACTTTAAGATAGCTGTAAGTGTGCAGAACAAGCAGTACACTGCAAAGTACACAAAGCTGGAAACATTTTGTGGCCTTTGTTTTGCAAGTTAGTTGTCAGTTCAGCAGAATTCTGTTTAGTGAATAAACCCTAAAATCCAGCAATAGGGCTCTGTAAATGAGCTTTTCTGATCCAGCTGCTATAAATGTCAGCCAGCCTCCAGCTGAGAGCATTTTGGCATTCTTACTCTGAAGTTTGAATTCTTCCCTATTATAATTTGTACATTCTAAGTTGAGAGGTGTAATAATAATAGCTGGGTTATGTAAAAACACAACAAAAAACTCCATTAATCTTATCAGTGGATTAAGGCAGCATTAAAATACACTATAATTGGCCCTGGACAGCTTTACATCTTATCATTAGAGACTACAGAATTTCACCTCTGTAAGAGAAAATGCTTTAGAGCTCTATAAGCTAGCCTTGTTCTATGATTGTCAAGGCAGATATATAGTGATATGAATACAAACATTAATTCCTATTGCTATAGTTTTACTCTATCCATGTTGGCGTCCAGCCCCCCTCCACATAAGGCGTTAAAAGAGAAGTATTACTTAAAAAAAAAAAAAATTAAAAATATTTTTTTTAACTGAATCTTGTTCATTGAAGGTTTTCACGTTGCATAAAGTAAAATATAGATGTGTATAAAATACAGAGCACCTCAAACAAGGTATAGCCCATCTCACAATAGTGCTGAACAAAGAGTACCACTTAGAATAGAAAAGTATCAAGTATTGTACTTCAAGATGAAATAGAACATGGTCTAACAGTACATTGACTTCACTAGAACAAGGCAGTGATTTGCACGGTGCATCTAGTGACACTCAGCAGAAGAGGGAGGTCAAGAATCCGAAGACTGTATATTACTTTTACTTCCTTGCTGGACTGGAAATAGTGTAGCTTTTATGAAAGGGCAATGTTTTACATTACAGGGTTAAAATTACAGGGCAACTGAGATGAAGTGTTCCGAATACATTTTATGGTGCTTTTAATATACGTAATAGGCCTATGCTTATATACTTGCATCATATATTTTTGAAACTTCCCTATTTCATTCTTAAATTTTGAATACCCTTTTCAATTTGCCGCAATCATTTATTCAGTGAATAAACCCTCATGACTTTGTCTTGGGTGAATTTAATTATGTTATGTGGGTAGGTCAAAAAGGACACATTGAGTGTCACCTGGGTTCCACGTATTCTCGCCATAATTTCAAGGGAACATGTTTGCTGCTCCGTTTACAAGAATAGATTCATACCCCCCTTTGTTCCTTCTTGCATAATTGGAAAGTCAGGCAGTATTGCCATGAGACAAATGTTTAGGTCTTGTTTATATTTACTGAACATATCACTCTCCTGACCTAACACATAATCTAGATATATTTATCTCGTGAAGATTGTCTACCTCCATATTAGGTATAGTTAGTTGGTGTACTCTTTTTAAACTTAATGCCTTGGTAACCGGCCCACTTCCCATCATTCCAAAGTGGTATGCTGCCTTCTATTACCGTGGCATACATCCACATTACACTTCCATCAGTAACACTTTTTTTATCTTTGGCAATAGTACATAAGGAAATAAAATAAGATTGGCACAGAGTATATTACATGACTCTACAGACACATTCAAGTGAACACACTGCAACGTAGTAAAGTTGTTAGATTCTAAAGAATTCTATTAGCTTTTTTACCCCAGCCTATTTTTTTTTTTTCTTCAAATTTCTCTATGTTAGTTATTTTTAATAAACACTTTATGTGCCAAAGAAGTGGCAGATGCACTGCCCTTTGGAGTGTGCAGCCCACAAGATCTACTCTACTCTTTCTTCTGCCCAGTGTTTCTTCCTTCCTACAATCACCATGCATGTGTAGCAGAAGGTTCTTGAAATGGACTTCATTATGTTGGACCAACTGCATAATGAATTTTGGGGGGGAAATTTTGTTTTAAAATGACCAGCCTCATGTTAGTTTGTGATTGGGCATTAGCCACACATCCCGTTTATTAGTCAATGCATTTGATATTTTTCTTATTAAAGTCTTTTGAAAAATTGTGCAAATTACAATGAAAACAAGGTATTCTGTAGAAAATGGATAGCTAGATCTAGAACAGAAGAAAATAACATGAAGAAAAATGAAAAGTGACCTCAAAAATAGTTATTTAAAGAAAATAGTTTTAGATGCCTGGTATGGCCTTACAGCAGATGTAAAAATGAATTTAACTTAGTATAGACACACTCCTGCCTTTAAGAAAACACAAAATGACGAGTAAAGCGTTTTAGAATATAAAATGGGCAGACTAGATGGTCCAAGTGGCTTCGATCTGTCTACAATATCTGTGTTTCTCTGTTGACATAAAGCAAATAGTCTGCACCAGGGGTAGCTCTTCAGCTGTTCTAGAAATAAAATTTCCACAATTCAGAGCCAGCTGGTTCTTAGCCAGTCTGAATAACAAACAAGAGATATGCAGTGCAACAACTGCAAGAGTGATACCTCAAAGTTTAGATCTGATTCACCATTTAAAAACTGCTCTAAAAGCATAATTTAGCCAACATCAAATTTGTGTGTCATGTCAATGTGAAATATTTTCGTTTAAGCTTAAACAGGATGAAGACATTTCAGCTAGTCGATTTGAAGATAATGAGGAGCTGCGGTATTCTCTGAGATCTATAGAGAAATTTGCACCATGGGTGCGTCATATTTTTATTGTAACGAATGGACAGATCCCCTCCTGGCTGAACCTTGACAATCCACGGGTCACTATTGTAACCCACCATGTAAGCAATTTTTCCTTTTCTTATCTTTATTTATTAATGCAGTAAACCATATTATTTAATGACACTCCTAGAAGTATTTACCCACCAGTTTTTAATTCAGTCAATAGATCATTTATAAAAAACAAACAAAAAAAAACTATCACTCTGGAATCCACCCCCACCCCCCAAAAAAAGTGTGTATGCGTTCTTGATCCTACATTAGCGACATCTACTCCCAAAAAATAAAAAAATGGCGTAGCTCGGTCTACCAATTGATATCACTGCAAGAATTAGTAAGTGTGTATGGTATGTGTGTGATTGCACGCATATAAATTCACTATTTTCTTCCAGTGAAAGAACACTCAAAGCACTACCATGAACCACTACAGCTCGAAAGCAATTTGACAACTCACCTGGGGTCTGCTGGGTGTCAATTGCCTCCCTCTCTGCCCCCTGCGTAGCACTGCACAAGTCCAGCTGTGCAGGTAGGCACTGACATTCTTATCCAGTGAGCTGGCGTTACAGGAGATTCCAACTCTGAGATGTGGCAACCAATGCCCAAAGGATTCCAGGCAAGTTGTCAAATCATTCGAAACAGGTTTACCCCAGTGCTCTCCTGGAACCATAACCACTATGGTGGGCTGTAGTGGTTACGGTGTTCGGAGGTTTCCTACAAGGAAGTTGTGCTTGCACATGCACAACTCAACCACAAGTGTCACCTCAAGTGTAAGTCACCATCTTTGTTTCATTAAATTGAACTCCTGTCACTCATTAATTTATTTCAAGCCAATGAGATGTCACGAATACCTGTCTTGTACATGAACGAACAACATTCTATTTATTTCTAGAAATTAAATGACACTTGTGCAAGGGATATAACTTCCTGCTGTGATCTCAACACTTACCACAGTGACGCTTTAGTACATGACTTTTATTTTCTTTGGCAAACATGCTTCTGGCATAATAAAAACATGGAGGTTTTTTTTGTTTGTTTTTTAGGATATTTCATCAGAAGCATGGTGGTAGTTGAAATGCCAGAAGTGGCTCTTGTAATAAGATTGTACCAATAGCCAAGGATTCAGACCTTTTTATTTTGGACATGTGTGTTGTAGCCTAAATAAGCAAAATATAAGGTTGCCCAATGCAATACTGTGATTTTAATTGATGTGCAAGACATTTTGATGGAGTTAAATAGGAGGTGGTTATTGTAGATATTTGGTTTGGAGCTGTTTACACTTATCTGGGACCTTTCCAACGTAATGGCATCTTGTTTATTATTTTTATCTGTCAACATGATAAATGTGACATCTGACATGTGTATCAACTGGATATGCTAAGGTAGTTTATCACTGAGAGCTAGAGTTGTAATTTAGGGGTTTATTTACTTAACAGAGAACTTGTGTGAATTGCAAACAATATTAGTCTTCTCTCTTTCAACTTAACAAATTTAACCTAGTGTTTCTAATTTAGTCATTTTCCCAAATTTGATATCCACAACTCCTCTCCTGTTGTATCGGTAAAAGGGAGAGGTGTTTATTTAAGGAGAACTGCATCTTGGGATTGTAACATCTCTGAAATGCACCAACTAGCCTTCAAGCATTGATGAGTTATTACATGTTACATATGTGTACTCTTTTGTCTTTCCTGCAGGATATTTTCTTGAACACAAGTCATTTGCCTACCTTCAGTTCTCCTGCTATTGAAAGCCATATCCACCGAATACCAGGGCTTTCTCAGAAATTCATATATATGAATGATGATGTCATGTTTGGGACAAATGTTTGGCCAGATGATTTTTATAGTCATTCAAAGGGACAAAAAGTAAGTAAAAGTAAATTCTATTTATCGACTTTACTCTGAAAAACATTTATCTGCCTTCCAGGTGTACATACATGTTTTTTGTGTTTAATACAGAAATACAGTTTAGTAGAAGTATCTTGTGGTGTTCTCTACCACAATAAACTCCATTAATTACAGAAATCTCAGAGTTGATGTGATTGAGTTGACTCCCTGAAATTTTGGTAAAAAACACAATGTATGCTCTCGTGAGCAGGGCTGACAAGCTGCCTTTGGTGCAGTATGGCACAGCAGGATTTATCCTAAGACAACCTTAGGCTGCTGCCTAGGACACATGGGCTAGACCTGTGTCCTATAGACCATGAATTTGCTTGGCTTCATTAACCATCCCTATGTGGGGGTCAAACTGGTAACCCACCTAGGGTCTCACGGGATCATAATCCTTTGATTTAAAGAGAAGCCATCAGTTCTCTAGTAGTTAGAGTATTGAATAAAACCCTGAAAATCATTTATAACTTAAAGTGCTAACTTTTTAAGAGATTCTCGTTTTTCTTTGTCTTATCTGGATAGTAAAGATTTAGCAATTGGCATCACGATACAGTTAATTTTTGGCATATCCAGGGCACGTACTGGAGGAGGTGATAATCAACACTCTTCCTGTCTCTCCTCCTCTTTATCCTCTCTGGATTAAGTGACCTGTGCAAAGGGCTGAGCTTACAACAATAACTGACTGGGAGTTACTTTTAATTTTCAGACCTCACAAATACATATTTGTTAAATATAGGGAATAATTCAAAATAATATACATTTTCTGGAAAGTGGCAGTTCCTCTAGTACCTAGGTTTGGCATCATTATGACTCACCAATGTTAGTAAAGCCATGTAGATCAGGAGCAATGTAAACGTACTTAATCATTTTAATTGATTTTGTAAAAATGGTTCTTGAATATTTACAGTGAAATGTCAGATGCTTTAGGGGTCATGTGGTTTAGTTTTGTTTAAATATGTGCGTATGACATTTGTTTCTCAGTTACTCCAAACCCAATTAAATGACTATTCATGTGATCACTTATTGTCTTTGCACTAAGGTATACTTGACGTGGCCTGTTCCCAACTGCGCTGAGGGATGCCCAGGATCTTGGATTAAGGATGGCTACTGTGACAAAGCCTGCAATAATTCAGCATGTGATTGGGATGGTGGTGATTGCCTCGGTGAGAATATTTTAAACCTCTTTCAAGCGTCTTGGGTTTCAGTCTAAATAGCAGATCATTTACAAGAATAATTACTGTAACCATTGGCAGTGCCTTTCGTTCCCCTATTAGATAAACATAATTATGTTGTTGAGATATATGCATCTGTTCACCTCATTTCCACTTTGCTGAGTTTCTTGTACACGCCTTATGCTTTGATTAAGGGTTTGATTTAAGGTGATGGGATTTCATCACGGCTTCTGGGTCTCTCGTGGTCATCCAGTCTGAATAGCCTACTCTATGGTGTGAATTAATTTTCAGATCTGAGTTTCTTGTGTTTCTAAAACTAAGGCCAAGGAGGATGTGGATGTTTTTGAATATAAGCTAGTCAGTCATATACTGTGCAAGATTATATAAATGATATATCTATGAGTGTTAGGGATTCCCTTGTTTTTATTTGGGAAACATAATTTCGAAGTATTATAATGAAAGTAGGCTAAGCCTCTTCTGTTGTCTCAAACTGTAGCGCCAGAATACAAAAAATAAACGAAACCTAATCAAAACTGCATTCATGGTGGTTGTTAAAAACATTCAAAATAGATGGAGCCTCAATTACTGAATGGCCACTGAGGGAGCCCTGTGGACAGTGGACTGTGCGGCCCATTACTGGCTTCCATTCAACATTTGACCTGTGTTTCCTCTTCATTAGTCTCTCCCCTTGTGTGGCCCTCTCTCCCCCTCAGTGTGTGTGTGGTCCCCAAGAGCCCTTAACATGGAGATGAAAAAGCAGCTAACCCAGGAGCTGAGAAACCGCTCCTCGACTCATGTGACAGAGTTGGTATTAGACAATTGTCTGTCCAGCAAGATTGAAAGGTTTAGTGATGTCTATATAGAGAGCTTCAGTTTCTTAGCCTGGCCAACATAGAGCTGACCTCTCTTGCAAAACTCTGCAAACTGCCCAAATTACAAAAATTAAAGCTCAATGATAACAGCATTTCTGGCTGCTTGGATGTATTGGTAGGAAGGTGTCCTAACCTCAATTACCTCAACTTGAGGGGAAACAAGATTAAGATTTATGCACAGTGAAAGCCATTAAAAATTTAAAAAAAAATCAGGAGCTTGGACCTTTTCAGTAGTGTGATCACCAACCAAGAAGATTATAGAGAGAATATTTTCCAGATCACGTACCTGGATGGCTTTGATCAGAACGATAACGACGCTCCCTACGGATAAGGATGATTAACAAGTGGATGGTTATGAGTATGCAGAGGATGAAGAAAAATAAGCAGGGCCTCCTGGTGAATATGAGGCTGAATCAGATTTAGGAGGAAAAGTGGGAGAAGAAGTTGGGTATCTTATTGAAAGATGAAATTCATGACGAGGAAGATGATGAATATATAGAAGTTGGGTGAAGGAGGAAGACCTTGTCCTGCAACATCATCCTGAAAGCATCACTTCCTCAATGACTGCCCAATACAATGCTCCTCATAAAGGAATATTGGGGACGAGAAGCGAGTACGCTTGAATGCCTTCCTAAAAGCTGCATTTTATTATGTTCAATGTCCTCATGGACGTTGAATGTCACAAGACTGGTGAAACTCTGTCATTGCAGAGAAAGTGTCTCAGCCACAAGATTTGTGTTTAACCCTGCGATGTAAAAATTGCAGTTTCTGCAAAACTGCAATTTTTCATTGCAGGTTTAAAAGACCACTAAAGTCTCCCAGACCACTTTATCTCAATGAAGTGGTCTGGGTGTAGTTGTCCTGTAGTTTTAACCTATACAGGTAAAACATTGCCATTTTGCAAAAAACTGTACGAACAGCCACTAGAAGCTCTTCAGCCACTAGAAGCTCTTCCGCCACAACAACCAAGTAAATCTTGGCCATGTGGTATTTCAGCTCACCGGAAAGCACTGAATTAAATGCTTTCCTGTGAGAAGCATTGGATGTGTGCAGCACTCACGGCGCATGCTCATCAAGTCCTCTGAGAGAAGCATTGGATTGGACCAGTGGAGCTTTCATGATGACTTTGTGGAAAGAGGTCACTGCACACAGGGCCACTGCATCCAGATCACTTGATTGAGATGAAGTGGTCTGGACGACTTTAGTGATCCTTTAATGCAAGTCAAAATAGACTCTTCTCAGTAAACTGGTCTTTCTCTAATTTCCCATTACATTTTGGAGACTATTAATAATCAAAGGCAATCTATTTATTTTACAAGAAGTCATAAAAATGACTTGCAAAGTTTAATCCTTTTACTATTAATGCTACATATTCTAAATGTTACATCTTGATCTAGTTATGATCGGTTGTCCCTAAGATATATTTGACTAAATCAAAAGAACAAACTTAAAATACCTAACAGAATACTTCCCATTGTTGTCTTCTGTATAAAATTGCATTAGATTGTATTGTGTTGTGCGTTTAATCCCTGTCTGAGAAGCCACGCGTTTTTAAGTATTAGCTTTGTGAGGCTGGTCATATTTCAGTACACAACAAAATAATATTCCAGAGGGTGGCTTGAAGGGGAAATGTCGTGTTAAAGATTTTTAATAGTTTACTCCTCTTTATCCTGCAACAGGGCACCTACATGTTACGTGGTTGGATTGTTATGTCATTTGCTCAATATTTAATATAAATTTTCAAACAAAAATGGAGCATCACATCAAACAAGTGATAGGTGATTTTCAATTCCGTAATTCCCAAAGGAGGAAACACCCATTCCTTTTCTCTACCCTCAATTTACTCCATCCCATAATTTCAGTGCCATTTATCTCATGTAGACTGCAGTATACATATAAGGGTTTTCTAAATGATAATATACTTTCTACAGTTTTTTTCCCCACTGTTTCCTAATCGTCTGCATATTTAATATATATATATATATATATTTTTTTTTTTCGTTTCCCTGTAGGAAACTCTGCGGCTGGACGATTCTCCCCAGTTCTAGGTGGAGGTGGTGCTCTAAATGTGCATCCGTGGCAACCCGGAGTTGGAATAACCGGTGTCTCCTACTGTAACCAAGGCTGTGCAAATTCATGGCTTGCAGATAAATTCTGTGACCAGGCTTGCAATGTTCTGAGCTGTGGTTTTGATGCTGGCGATTGTGGGCAAGGTATGGTACTCCCATTGTTTTTCATAGTGTCTGATAACATAGATGAAGGCCTTGCAATGTTAAAAGCACACAATTCAAAGACATTGTTTAGTTGCAACATGATATTGATGTGTAACCCTGTACAATGGAATGGACTTTTACCAACTCTTTAATCAGAGAAGTAGCAGTCCTTTAGTAATCAGTGCTAAATATAGAAGGACAATTTACATATTTATGAAACTATGTGTCTTATGTAGAGTGTTGTGTTGACAGGAGTATTAACAAAGTATATGATCTTCAATTGACAGTATGCATATCGTCCATATTTACATATCTAGTACACTACACGATATGCATTAGGCATCTCGTCCAAATTTAAAAAGCTATGTATACTTCCATACAAAGAGATAGGACAGAGGGTAAAAGGAATTCTTTATATTACAATAGACTCCGTAAAATATATCTTTAAAGTGGACTCTCACCATTCAGTATAATTATTTACATAGTGTTTTCTTCCAAATTGAAGAATCAAACCAGGTACACATGAAATAAGCCAAGAAGAATGGTAAAACATGTAAAGATTTGTTTGTGAAAATTGTGTTTTAAAATTGGAGCAGTTGTTGTGGAAACCAATGGAATGTTCCTTCTGATTGCTCCACTTTTAGACCTTTATCACCACTAGTGTGTTGGCTGTGTGCATTTTCCATTTCCTGGTGATGTAAGGTTGTTTGAAAGTAGTTTTTGGAATTGAAAAATCTGAATTAATTTGCCATGCTGATGTAGACTGCCAGATATTTGAGTTGTAAAGGTAAATGGATACGTTATTTTACTGCCAAATTCTTCTTTCTTCCTGCTTTGAATCAGTTACCAAAATATATGCATGTGTAAGAGGCTTTCTATGATGGTTTTAACATCTTAAACCTACTGTTACACTTTTGTGTTGTGGCAAACATTTGATTTTTGTTTCATACTCTATTTTGAGATTCTCTGGTTTCTCAGTTTGCATAATGTGACATTTATCATGGTTTTCCTTTCTGTGCATTGCATCAAATCACTGTTAGTAAGCGAATCAGAAAAATCTAATAAACCAGAATAAATCTATCCCCTAAAGATGATTTAACTTATCGGTTTCCATACCAGCTATTATTTAGAGAAGAAAGAAAAATTAATTTAAAAAAATGCTATTTTAAAGATAAAGTGGCAGGTCCTCTGTACACACTCTATTTCCTTGTGTATCTTGTGTGAACAAAATAGATATTATCCCTATTGCTTTAGAACACAAATATAATGCAATTTGCAGCCGTGTAACACTCAGTATTTTATGGTGGAGCCTTAGTATCTTAACCTTCCAACTTGAGTTGTACAAAGGTTCCACCAACAACTCAAGTTGGAAGGTTAAGATACTATTTTAACTTTTAATAGAAACATGTGGAAATTAATTAAAATGTATACAATGCTTGAATAAATTGAAGGTGTGTCATTGAATTTTCTACTTTTATTTCTTTCCAGACCATTTTGGAGAAATGTACAAGTTAGACCTATATCTCAATCAAACACACTATGTAATTCCAAAAGGAGAGTCCTTCCCCTACTTTAACTTTGCTGGTATCGCCAAGAAGGTAGTTGATGGTGTTTACAAAGATAATCCAATTGTTCGCCATGCTTCAATAGCCAACAAATGGAAAACAATTCACTTGATTATGTACCCAGGGATGAATGCTACTGTGGTCCATTTCAATTTCACTTTCCAGGATCAAAATGATAAAGAATTTAAAATGCAGATTTATATGAATGTGGACACTACAGAGGATCAAAAAAGGAATGGTACTACATCAGTGGTTGAGAAAAAGGATGTGATCGTCTCAACACCAACTCCAGAGGCAGAAGTCTTGTTTGAGGATATCCCCGAAGAAAAACGTTTTCCAAAATTGAAGAAACATTCATCTGTTAATAGCACCAAACTAGATATTAATGTTCTTCATGTGAATGTCTCTCTTCTTCCCAATAAGGTCCAACTTGCTCTTCAGGAACTTGATATGAAGCTAAGTAATGGGGACGTAACTTTAAAAGGATACAATTTATTAAAGATGGTTCTCCTTGAACCGTTTGTTCATTTAGCTTTCTATAGTGATCATGGTTTAAATGGAAATAAGCAGCCACTTAAAGATTTAACAGGTTTTCTGGCAAAGGCCGAAGAAGAGACTGAGCAGTTAGTTGGCATGCATACAAATCAAACCGGGATTAAAAACGAAAAAGCCTTTCAGATTTCTGAAATTAAACCAAAAACAGATGATTTTGACCGTAAAAATATTAAGTCTTTAAGCAAAAACACGTCTCCAAAAAATAAGTTAAGTAACTTAGATATAAAACCACCTCAAGACAGCAATAGTAAAGATACCTTGAAAAATGGAGATGATGGTGGTCTACCGAGGAGAAAATTGCAGCAATACCAACCAAGAAGGGAGGGATTTTTACCTTGGGAAAAGAAGAAGTATTTTAAAGACATCCTCGATGTAAGTATGACCTGCACACGTTCTCAGTTATAAGAGAATTTTACATAGAAATCTGCAACTTAGAATGTTGAATCTGGCATTTCTAAATTAAAATGGCTTGCATTTATGAGACATTTATGGTAGTAAAAAAATAAAATAATTTTTTTAAAAAAAGTATATGCATGCACTGATCAATTCTACTCAAAAGAAGTAGAAACCTCTTTTACATAAATAATCTTTAGTGTTCTTCTAACACTAATGAACCCTTTACCATAGGGTATTTTTCTTTAATAAATCTGATAATAAATAAGAGAAGAGCATTTATTTGCAAGCATTTAAACTTAAGACAAACGAGCAATCTCATGTATATATTGCTGTTAAGGGAAACCAAAAATAAAATTATGTAAAATATGTGCACTATAAAGTAGATTGGCGTAATTCCAATTATTTATATAGCGTCCACATATTCAGCAGCACTGTACAATAGGTAAACAGGACAAACATTTAATTTTAAAACATTTATGGCATACAGGAGTAGTAAGTGAAGAGGCGTACTTTAACTCACTATAATTACATTTGTTCAAATGATTGATAAATGTCATGAGAATAAACCTATTTTGCAGGAACAAGCTGCATTGCTGAGTGACCTTTCATATATCACCAATGGCAAACACGTTGGCAGGAAGCTACAAGATACATTTGCTGACTCCCTTCGATATGTGAATAAGCTTCTCAACAGTAAATTTGGCTTTACCTCTCGGAAAGTCCCTGCTCACATGCCACATATGATTGACCGTATTGTCATGCAGGATCTGCAGGATTTGTAAGTATATCTCAGACTCCAGGAGGCGAAGGAGTGATTGCTTCTATGTGCTAATCCTTGAGATGTTCATGTTGCACATCAAAGTGTGATGAATCAAAAGTACACTATGCAACAGCACATGTTGTACACCTTATAAGCCTGGTCATTTTGACTAGGTGATCTTTCCTATGGACGGTGATTTGTATCCTGACGTCCTGAAGGTTTTAAGCAAAGTTAAATATTAAGGAGATAGGCAAAGGGCTGCTAGCTGCTGGTGCTTAAAAAGAAAAAGATTTTTGTTTTATCAGTTTGGCCATGGTCCTTGGACACATGGCCTGCTGTGTAGAGTAGACCGTATGTGGCATGATAATGACAAAATAATTACACATGCTCTTCTTTATTGTATTTGATTTCTTTCATTGTGCAGGTATCCAGCTGAGTTTGACATGACATCCGCTCACAAAGTCCGTCATTCGCAAGACATGCAGTTTGCCTTTTCCTTCTTTTATTACCTCATGAGTGCTATACAGCCGCTAAACATCTCCCAAGTCTTCGATGATATAGACACTGACGGATCAGGCATATTGTCTGACCGGGAGATCCGTACTTTGGCTACAAGGATTCACCAGTTACCTTTAAGTCTGCAAGTGAGTTTATATATAACTATTTTGAAGTATTTTTAAATGTAAGTCATTCACACACAATTCATAAAGGGAAGGGGATGTCCAACACATTTTGTTCCTAAAATATATTTTTCTATATCAGCCACAGAGGTGGGAACTCTCATTTAGGATTAAAAATGATTTAATGCTGAATGGAAGGATGACACCAGGGGACTCCAGACAGTATAACCAATTCAATGAGATGAAGCAATTACAATGCCTACAGTGTTTCTTTAATTATTAATGAAATCAGGCTGTTCCTTGCTGCAGAGATGGCAGTACTATATTCTAACAGAAACAGTTTTTTTCAGTGTTAATATTCACATCTTCAAATGCTTTGAGCATTAGTTATCTTTACACTTTTTGCAAACATATTTATAAACTATATAAATGTGCCTGAAAAAGGTTACTTCCCAGGAATTTTTATAACAAATATGTACTGTCTTTTCCTGAAAATAAGACCAGGTGTTATATTAATTTCCCCCCGAAAACTATGTTATGGGGAACTTCTTCAAACATAGACTAGCGAACTAGCGGCTAGGGCTTATTTTCGGGGAAATTGGGTATTTGTGAGACGTAAAAATAAAATCTAGAAATTCAAATCTCTTTATCACACTACTGGGTTCCCCAATTTTTGTCCCTTGTCAGTTAATGCAGCTGTGCCCTTTGCACAAGGCAGTCCGCATGGAGAAAACAGAGAGATAAAAATTCAAGGGCAGATTTATAGAAGTGTGCTCTCCTAAAGGTTGTGCAAAACTATTAAAGGAGAAGAGTTTCCAATGGAATACTGCCTTTCATGTTGTTTGCACCATTTTTAGTAGTTTAAACTATGGTTTAGAACAGAACAGCACACTCGAATAACTCGCACCTGATGTTTTTAATTTTCCCTTCTTTTGTACAATGAGAGTCCCAGCTGTACTTGGGCTGAACTGAAAATTTATATAATTTTAATCATTTTAACAATTCATAGGTAGTTTTCTACGTTTTTGTTGTAGTGGTGTAATTTCCAGAGAAGTAACAGTTCCCTTTTACATTATTGCTACTCTGTTTATTTTGGAACAACAATCTATCTACCAATCTAGATATAGTGCTATGTAAACAGTGATCTATCTAGATATAGCTCTAATCTATATATGTATGTGTTTTGGTTCTGTAATGATCCAACTGCAGAAGGGGAATTTGACATTATAGTCCTCCATTAAACCCACATAGCATAAAGTATTACAATGTTCCTAATGATTGCTGCTTTCTTTCATCACAGGATCTTACTGGTTTGGAACATATGCTTATAAACTGTTCCAAAACACTCCAGCTCAACAGCTCCCAGGAAAGCGTCATTCCAGCCACACAGGAGTCCTATTATGACCCAAACTTGGTAACAAATTACTTTTTAAATTCTGTAATCGGTTCAAGTCCCGACATCCCCTCTCCCCCCCGATTGTCCTCTTGAACAGTTCAGATAAAGAATAAAGAAGGCAATATAAAATTAAATGAAATAAAAACAGAACCGTGTATATCATATGGCGGCACATAGAATCATAGGTGGTTGAGATAGAGGCTAATAATGACAGCAGAATCGCTGTTATGTGCCCGAAGATTGCACAGACTGGGGAGTCCACATTCAGCCGATCCCTTAAATTGGCAGAGAGAAAACTGGTATGGTGATGGCGAAATGGTGGTGAGATAAGGTCTCCCTCTAGCCCCAGGCCTGTATGGAGGCCAGCATCAGTGAGCCAGAGACCTTCCCGGATCGGGAGCAAGAGAAAGCCCAGTTGTTCTGCTGCCACCAGCAGTGGGCAGTCTTCGGACAATGTTGGTGATGCTTCGGGGCGTACCCCTATTGGCCTTTGTCCAAGACAGACGATCAGCATATGTAGCTGATGCAGGTAGGTAAGCTGCACCTGAAGGAGGCCTGCTAAACATCCGGCTCCTGACCCTTTTCTACACCTACTGCAGCTGAGGCAGTGCAAGAATTCTATACTTCTCTAGTTCTGCCGAGACGTGTTGGCATATCTCGGTCAGTCGGAGGAGGAACTGCTCCATCGTATGAAAATGTGCTCTATAGGACTGGGTAGGTGCATCATCCGGTGGTGAAATCACATCCGCCATTTTGCTTGGGCCATCGGGTATTATTCGGGCACTGTGTTGATCTACAGGAACTAGCAAAGGTGAGTGCATCGAACCTGTGGGATCCGGGATAACCCCCGCCGGTCCCGAGGGGAAGTCAATAGGACCTTTCAGATGCAGGGTGCCTGCTAGGAAACATCGCTACTCTTCCCAGGAGTGCGGCCGCCTCTCCAGTCGGAGTGACCCTCAATGCCTCACTTGGACTTCCGGGGTACACAAAGGGGACACGTGTTCAAACAAGCTGAGAGTAGAATTTTTGGCTGTTTTCAGGAGTTTAGTGAGGAGCTCCCACAAGATGCTACGTGCCCCCTATATAGATATTATATTTTGATCACTGTTAATTTCTTTAATTTTCTCGGAAAAACACGTTTAGAGGAAAATTTAACAAGGCAAAAGTTGCTTAACAAGGACCAACAAAATGTGTCTCAACATTTAGTACTTTGTATCCAAAATAGCTCCCGTTTTGCTCTGATAAATGTGTTTGTTACCATGCTGTATGATTTATGCTAATACAAGTTATGTATTGTGTGTGTTCACAGCCTCCAGTTACCAAACATCTTGTAATCAACTGTAAACCCGTCATGGAGCTTATACGTAAAACCTACAAGGACAAGAATAAATACAGGTAAGATTCTAGTGAATTTTTACTGATCTCTTTATCTTAATTCACTACGGTTGTCTATCCGGTGGTGCAATCTATAATGCATGTACTATGTTTATGACTTATGGGAACTACAGTATATTCAACTGGTAAAAATAATATTCTGGTACCTCGGAGCACAGAGTACATGTTGATTTCCTTTTTAAAAGTACTGAATATGTGCTGTATATTTTACATCCTTCTGTCCTCTCCAGATTTGAAATTATGGGAGAGGAAGACATTGCCTTCAAAATGATTCGCACAAATGTTTCCCATGTAGTTGGTCAATTAGATGATATACGGAAGAATCCCAGGTAGGTGATACTCTAGTTAAATGATGTGACTAAATAAATTTTTTAGACCATAGTCCTGCATCCATTAAAACCGGATGTGCCTCAAATGATAGATGTGTTTAGTCTTCGACTCTTGAGGTCTTTTTACTACATTGCTACACTTATTTATACTACTGTACTGTACTTGCACATATTAGAATTTTGAGTAAGGAGTCTAAAGTGAGACCTGATAAAGATTAAAGGGACACTATATTCACCAGGACCACTACAGCTTAATGTAGTGGTTCCGGTGTCTATAGCATGTCCCTGCAGGTTTTTTAGAGAAAAGGCAGTGTTTACATTGTTGTCTAGTAACACCTCTAGTGGCAGTCACTCGGACGGCCACTAGAGGTGATTCCTATTGCAGTGCTGCAGCACCTACATTAAGCATCTCCACGCTCTGCATGAAGTTGCTGAATGATTCCCATAGAGATACATTCATTCAATACATCTCTTTGAGGAGATGCTGATTGGTCAGCACAGTGTTTTGCCGTGCTTGCGCAGTAGCCTCCCATTCCTTTCTTATGGTAAAGCTTTGGATTAGTGGAAATCATCAAAACTGATGCTGCAGCTGGTCCAGCCTCCATAGCTGAGAGCAAGACCGGCACTGCGAGGGGGGAAAAGGGGAGTACAACATAGTTCCGCTGGATTCCATGCCCTAGTGGAATTCCCCCGAACATAGACCTGCTTTCTAGCACATGCTGTTTCCCCCGAAATAAGACCTTTCCTGAAAATAATATCTTCACTGCAATCTGAGGGGACTCAAGGACCTAAACAGCCACTTCAGGACTATAGTGTTAGGAATACATGTTTATAAAAAAAAAATGTGTTATAAAAAAAAAAGTAAAATAGTTTAAGAATTTGATATATTGTATTAAAATATTTCATACCATGCTTAAACTGTAGAATTTAGTCCATAACATACACATAACTTTTTTTTTTTCCTTTTGGTTTTACAGGAAATTTATTTGTTTGAATGATAATATTAACCATATTCACAAAGATGCACAGACCGTGAAGGCAGTTTTGAGGGACTTCTATGAATCAATGTTTCCAATCCCTTCTCAGTTTGAGCTTCCGCGAGAATATCGAAACCGTTTCCTACACATGCACGAGTTGGAAGAATGGTAATTTTTTGTTTTTTTTATCCTAATATTTTTTCTGAAAACTATAAAAGAGTAACCCTAGCATTGCTAAACTATGGTATAACTTGAGTTAGAGTAGTAGTACAAACATATATATATATTTTTTTTATTTTTTTTTTGAGCAAAAGTACAATGCATTAGCAGGTAAAACAAAGATTAATATTAGAACAGATCTGTCACCTTCGGGGGATTAGTTGATAATTACCTAGGAAAATGCCTGTTGGATGAGAAAATATACTTGAAGTAGCATTGTCATTGTCGTAGCAGTAATGTCATTGATGCACTCCAGCATAGCTGAGCGGAATGTACAGTTTATCCTAGCTGTCTGCATGCACTACAATTACCTGATACTCTCCTATTTCTAACTGACGATATGTTAATGTGATTTTCCTTTCAATGTAAGATCTAAATCTAATTGAGTAAGTTAGGAGAATAAGGTGCAGAATGAGAGGTATTTACTTAAATGTATGAATTACAAAGTAATACAAGAAAACGTATATTAAAGTAACACTATAGTGTTGGGAATACAAAGCTGTATTCCTAACACAATAAGAACCTCCCGTGATGTAAAGGGTTTAAAATTTTTAAACATATTTTCCACTTACCTGGTGGCAGCGCTAGGTCGGGCTCCTTCTCCTCCGATGTCAACAGATGTGGGGAACCTAAAGCGCAAGCGCCACGCACGCCGTAGGCCTTCCCAATAGAAAACCATTGATTCATTGCTTTTCTACAGGGTTTTTCAACATGCTGGACGACCTCATACAAAGCGTGAGGACCACCAGCATCGTTTCATGAAGTCAAACTTCGTGAAACTACAGCAAGTGCCTTTAGGCAGAGGCAGTCTTAACAAAGAGGCAATATTAACACTGCAGTGTAAACATAGCAGTTTCTCTAAAATGGCATTGTTTTACATTGCAGGGTTAAAGGAACAGGGACACTGCACCCAGACCAATTCAATGAAATGATCTGAGTGTCTACAGTGTCCTTTTAAAAGTAAACCTATTTTTAACGGATGCCTTACTCTTGTAGAAACACTTTCTATGTCTTTGTTGCAGTGACCGAAAGACAGTAATAAATCACTCTAGCTATTGAGCTGTATAGAGTAGATGTAACTCAGTGCAGGCTTGGTGTGGTGAATTCCCATCATACCTCTGCATCTTTGTATGTTTGTGTTTCCCCAAAAAAGCATATTCAAATAAAATGTTTAATGTTTTATTCAGGAGGAGTTACAGAGACAAGTTGAAATTTTGGACTCACTGTGTCTTGGGAACATTGATTGTGTTTACAGTCCTCTCCTTTTTTGCTGAACAGGTAATGTTTTTACACCCTAAAATTTATATTTTATACGTGAAAACCTCAAACACTTTGTTTGGTGCAACCCTGTATTTTTTGTAATTTTCCTTTTTTCTCCAACTCTTTCTCTCCAGTTATAATGGATACACCTTACTTGGTTTTGTTCGTGGTTTCTTTCCCTCTTTAATTTACATTCTTCCCTTTAATACATTTGAATAAACTTTAATATGTTGGAATTTCTCTTAATAAAAAAAATTTAATTCACTTCCCCCACCCAAAAAAACCCATAATATGCTGAAAGACTCTGTCTTGAAAAACCTGAAAGGGTTAACATTGATTAGAAAATGTAGAAAGGACTGCAGTTATTTGGCAAGCCTAAAAGACTTGTACCCAATGTTCACATACTTTCTTTGCATGATGTAATAACTTATTAACACATAATGTCCTCTTTATGCCATTCAAATGTTGAAAGGTATGCCGGTGTGTTTGGCTGAGTTGCAGGTGCACCAGTTCATAGTGTCTTAAAGCGGCACTGTCATGCCGAACTTACCTTTCCCCAATCGCTTCCTCTTCTCTCCATCTGTCAGGATCTGTTCTTCATTTCTTCCTGTCTGCTCTAGTTTTCTTTAAAACATAAGACAAAGTAAGGACTGTTTTGTCTTATGGAGGTTTCCTACGCCTGACCATATATGACCAGCACAGGAACAAAGTTTGCTCCATTTCCTGTGGCCAGAGAACTTTTCCCACAATTCTTACATTTTCTCTGTGTTTTTTGCAATGCCTCCTTTCTGTATTCCCAAATGCCAGCAAAACTACCGAATTTCGCCCTAACAGAATAAGAGCAGTTCCTCCATTCATGTCAGGACGAAATTCGGGACTTTTGTTTAGTTCAAAACTTTATTAGAATTAATGAAATTCCGATCCGATCGCAGCTGCATCTTGCAGCCGCTTAGTAGATAGCTCTCTAATTCCCACGGTATTAAGGAGCTATCTACCAAAAGGCTGAAATACCAAGATTGGTCTTTCAGCCAACTTTACTAATACCAAGTAAAAGTAGATGCCCCACCATGGGGCCATTTTTTAGAGTGGGGTGGTATTTATTTTATTTATTTTTTTACAACAGTGAGCAGCCACTGGAGGCATAGCGAGTAGGGGCATTCAGGAGATTTTCATTTCCCTTATGCTATTATGGAGGTCATATTGACCCCCATAGAGTGAGGGAGTACATGGGGGGATTAGGAAGTGGTGGGGAGCACTGCTCCCTGCCACTTCTATTTTTACATATTACAAGGAGGGAGCTGCGTGCTGGTAGCTCCCTCCTTGTAATAAACGAATGAACGAATAGATAAAACTCCCGATCGCATGCCCAAGTGTTTAACTGGGCATGCACAGGAATTTCACATCTGGTGTGGGCAGGTGATGTGTCCCACAGGGCGGCGCCCGGGACCTAGGTCCGGGCAGAATTTAAAGATAGGGGGGCTTAGGGGCAGACTATGAGGGCAATTAGATGTAGTGGAGTCGGGAGGGGGATTAAAAAATAAAACTGGATTTGGCCATGACAGTGCCGCTTTAATGACTAAAAATAAAATGCTTAGAAGTATGGAAATAGTGATGTATTATTGCAACCCCAATGCACCGGCAAGCTGTTTTTCTTAAATCCTTGGCCACATCTACAATCACTAAAATATGTTATTGAGCAACTTGAGAGATTTTTATTGTGGTTTAATTAATGATGGGAAAATAGTGCTACCAATGTACACATCCAGAACACTCACAACATTTTAGTTTAAATGTAAACTACACTAAAGAAAATTGTAATAAATCAGACTGCAACACGACATCCCATACATAAGGGACCACACACTGAAAAACAAGATAGCCAAGGGATGTGTGATTCTGTTTTCCATAGTACTATACATAACAAGAAAGTACTGATTTAGGAAATTAATGCTATTGTTGGGTACCGGAAACATATTAAACCTAGAAAGCAAATTAGATCTGTTTGCTTGTTTACATCAATTACTGACGCATGTACACTGTGAGGAGGATGTCTATTTAAATATTCATGCCTTGGTGTGTTTTCTTTGTGCCCTAGCTGATTGCACTAAAAAGAAAGATTTTCCCCCGACGCAGAACTCAGATTGGAGCGAGTCCTGAAAGAAGTAAGGTTTAAGTAAAGAGCAATTGGAAATGCGATTCAGTTCTACCTCAGTTCTGGAGAAAACAGAACCACCAAAATGTCCCAAAAGGATGGCTTCCAAACTTGAAGCTATAATAGCAAAGGTGCGGGCAAAGCTCTCTGCCTGCAGGTGATTTCCTCTTATAAGTATTTATCTCATGGCGATAACATCCTTCAAGCAAATTCCACAAGAGACATAGTTGTACTTGAATGCAATGTATTTGTAATGTTGGAATCTAGTTATGAGAGAACCTTCTGCTTTGGGACAGATTGGTAATTGAGCGTGTGACCTTTTTGAAATCCAAACAATTCTGAAGTGACAACAAGGCTTTTCTTATCCTTCTGGCTCACTAAAAACCAACTACTTGTACACACGCTGTGCAGATCGAAACAAAACTGCTCTTGTTTCAAAATGTCATCAAACCTGGTTACTGTGATGTCCATTGTGTATCTTTTTCTACAAGATTTTGGCAGACGTCTCACTTTTTGTGACTTGAGATTTGTTCTAGCTTTGTTGATAACGTCAATACAAGTTAAGTGCCTGTGTACAGAGAATAAGAACATATTGTCAGTGTTGGGATATATATTTTTACTGTAGCGATTTGTGTAAATATGATATCAGGGTACTTTACCCATTATCAGGCATCGGATAGCAGCAGTGTTTTTTTCTTTTTCTTCAATTTAATGTTTTTGAATGACAAATGAAGGATATTGCCTAAGAAAAGATTTCTTATAAACAGAGATTCTGCAGACCATACTGCGAGGTTGTGCCAACACTCCAAGTCTATTAATTCTTTATTGCACCTAATGACTTTATAGTGAATCTAACATGTGTATGACAAGGTTGCCTTCTATACATTGTGCTTTTTCTACAAGACAGCCTCTGCAATATATAATGGCTGCATGCTTCTCATTGTCGGAGCTTCACTCATTGTTTAAGAATGGGCCAGGCATGTCATTAGCATGGAAGTGGCTTACATGCAAAAAAAAAAATCTAAAAAATCAAAATCAATTGTGGATGAAAATAAATCTATATATTTGCTAACAACTCGGCTATCACGATGTATAGATGGCATTTTGTTCTGTGTAAAGTCTCCCTATGTAACTTTTATATGACATGTACACTTTAAAGCAGCTCTCTAAGTACCATGACTAGTACAGGCTGCTGTAATGGTTATGACACCAGCATGCCCAAGGCGCCATTCCCAAAGTCTGTGTCAAACAAATTTCAAGTAATTTGAAGAAACCAAGGCTCTCCTGGGCAACATGGCCAGGCTCCTTGTTGGACATACTGCTATTGTGGAAGTTCTACTTTAATATTCGCAATCTTAATTTTGTCCATATTTGGATTGACTAATTTCTTCTTATATAGCAGAGGGGTTGGTGTGGCACCTTTGTAATTCCTCAGATGTATATGCAAAAAATAGAAGACAGAAGAAAAGAGCTGATAGTGTAGAATATTTTTGTATTCTTTGGAGAGATGTAATCCGTAAGATGTACACTTACACTTTTCTGGAGCTTCAATTCAGCTCTAACAAGTGCTTGAGCTTGAAGCTCCAGAAAAGTGCAAGTGTACATCTTGCTGATTACATCTCTCCAAAGAATACAAAAATATACTACACTATCAGCTCTTTTCTTCTTTGTGTCTGTCTTGTATTTTTAGCATATAAATCTGAGGAATTACAAAGGCCCCACACAAACTCCTCTGCAATATTTGACTCTGACTTGTATCGGGTAAGAGAAACACCGGATTTAGGTGTTAGGCTGCCCCAGTGAACTGTACCAGTATCTACAAGCGCTGAATTACCTCTTCCTTAATTCCTTTTCATACCTCATGTAGCTTGACAATAGGAATCTGGGTAACTGGTATATGCTTCGGGGCCATCTGGCGAAGACATTGCAGCTTCTATGATAAGTCATAAGCGGAGTCTCTTTCTTTGCTCGAAGTTTCTTCAGCTGGCATGCCCAACCTATGAATGTCATTCAAATTTGGACAAAACTCCACAAAATACAGAAGTGTAACGTCCATAGTAGCGATATGCTTATGTGACGTTCCAGGCCATGGTGCTTAAGAGAAAAAAGTTTAGCACAGCACCTAGTAAGAGTGCCAGGGGCATGCATGCTGGCTCAATAGCCACTGCATCCGGCTATAGTGGTTATGGTACTTAGAGTGCCTTTAAGGTCACTGTGTAAATCCTTCAGGATAAATAAGGAACTCATACATTAAGTCATTGTGTTTTTTTTTTTATTTATAATTTATATCACTAACCTATCTCTGTTGATCAGTGATGAGGGAAGTAATGTTATTTTAAATATATGAATGTACATTAATTGTAATAATGACAAGTCTGTTTCTTGATTAAACACTGTTTGGATGCTACTGAGTTCTATGAATTACAAAATTGTGTCTGTGAACAATTGTTTGCTTTGCTACATATAATTTTTTACACTGCCAATATAGGATTTTTTTTTTTTTAACATGAAATGTTTGCTTGGACAGTTAATATAATTATGCTACTTTATCATTTTTAGTCTGTAACTATTGTACGGTGTGGGTTAATTGTTACCCACATCATTATTAACCTAACAAGTGTCACAAAATCCAATTTGACAAGCTATTTCCACTGCACATATAACAGAGTGTTTTAATTAATGCTGGGTTTTTGGGGGGTTTTTTGGGCAGGGGGAGGGATTTACAAGATATCAATGCTTTTAGTTTTTTTCCCCATTGTCTTTTTATAGAAGCAATGATTATTTCCTTTTCACTTTCTCTAAGCTATGCTATGTATGTTACAAGTACTTGAACTTGCGCTTCCATAAGCTTATTTTTGTTATGCGAATGTCGCATATCATTGTGTATTTTGTTGCTTTCATTGTAACTCAATCAAAAATAAATAATGAATGTTTCAACTTTTAACGACTTATTTCCCCCAATTTAATTTGGTAGTGGCTGGCTTTAAAACTTTTTGTATCAGATTCACTCCAGAAAAAAAACTGAACTTCATGGATCAATTCTCATATTTTACAGCACTGCTAAAAACCCACTTTTATAGCTATGGAGAAAGCTATTAAATGCATCCAAAGTTGTGTTCTATTTCTCATATTTTTTGCTTTTCCAATAGAAATTCTATTTCATGAACTGTGCATTGGTGTAACGAGAAATAACATAGCCAGCCATAGCTTTTAGTTAGTTAGCTTTTAGTTAGTTTTATAGTCTTCACATGTAAGTCCTACTGCAGTAGGATTTTGGTGTTCTCAAAGTTTGTGTGGGTTTTTATTCTGCACATCCTTCATTAAAGGGACACTATAGTCACCAGAACAACTACAGCTTATTGTATTTGTTCTGGTGAGTAGAATCATTCCCTTCAGGCGTTTTGCAGTAAACACAGTCTTTTCAGAAAAAAAGGCAGTGTTTACATTACAGTCTAGGGATACTTCCACTGGCCACTCATAACTTTATGAGGTGATTTCTGGAACTCCCATTCAGTGTCTCCACCCTCTGCATGGAGACACTGAACTTTCCTCATAGAGATGCATTGATTCAGTGCATTTCTACGAGGATAGTCTGATTGGCCAGGGCAGTGTTTGGCTTGTGTTGGCTCTTCCCCTGATCAGCCTCCTTGACAGTCTCAGCCAATCCAATGCTTTCCTATGTGAAAGCTGCAAAATTTCTCCACAATTAGCTTTTCAATACGGTTATTATTTTGACATAAAATGTTAAATGTACTTTAAATTCCTGACAATGCACCCTATAGTAAAATAACCATGCTGGGTTCCTAATCTGGTCGATATAGCATTGCTAAATATATATTGCAACAGTATGTGATGGAACCCTTTTTAGATTATTGCTGCTGACAAGCCTTCCTGCTATAAACTGTGGAATGATTGGATTCTATGTATTGTTGAACTGGGGCCAAAAATTATGTTTTACAAGGTCTGCTTTTATCTTAAGTTGCTCTGTAGTTATCATCTGTCATAGTAGGGATTAGACTTTTATGAAAACTATTTACATCATCTTAATATACCATGAACACTAGACCCTTCATTTAAAGTGGGATGCTTATGTTAAGCAAGCATGCATATTTTCTAGTGCCAGCAATGCAAGTGACATTCAATATACAGTGGAACCTCAGAACTGGAATGCTCTCTTACCCGTGCAATTCGGTATTCAAATATAAAGTTAGATGAAAAAAAATGTCTCAGTACCTGAACAAAACTCTGTATTAGAACAAAATCACAAGGCATTAACCTCGTTGGTATGACGCATTGGCCTGCTAGCACTAGACAAAGCGTACAGAGCTCCATTCTGTCAGCAAACAGAGCTGACTGGCAAAGTGGTTACATTTTAATTTAATTTACATTGTATTTATTGTTTTTCTGTATGATTTTATACATGCAAGGTATTATTAAACTAACATTTGTGTTAAAATTATGCAATTTTGGGGGTCTGGAACAGATTAATCTAATACTGTATACACTAATTCTTATGGAAATTTTTGATTCGGTTTTTGAACAAATCGGTTCTTGAACAGCCTTCTGGCACGGATTAAGTTCAAGTTCTGAGGTTCCACTGTACTACAAGATAGACAGGCTGTGAACTAACTAATATCATCTGGAAAAGAAAAAGGATGAACCTCTGTTTTACACCAATGAATAGAATATTTCTGCTTTGGATATTAGAAAATTGAAACTATAAACTATCCAGGGTTATTTACTAAAGTGAGAATTCAAAGTCAATTTCAAATTTAAGGACAGAGAAGCTAAATTGAAAGCATAGCAGACTTAGAACATTTTTACATTCACTTTGAATTCTTACTTTATTTCACTAGTAAATAAACCCTATAGTTTACTATATGCATTTCTCTTGCAATTTACAGAAGTATAATGCTGTAGCACTTTTGAATTTCATTTTGAATTTGTAGTATGGTCGCTTTATGGTTATAGGTTTGGTGAAAGTGATATACTTGATGATCTTTAATTTGTATTTAACTGTTCAAAGACCACTGACACCACAGGTTGCCATCATGTTTGCCAAAGAGCTCTGCTGAAGACAAATGTGGTTTACCATGTAAGAACAGAATAAGACCTTCAAGTAACTGATTGTTATGAAAATATACTTAAGGGTTATAAAAATGTGCATTTGTAACAGTCACAGTATTCTACAGCTGTATGAACAACCTTCCTAAGAAGAATAAAATGTAACTTTTACATACAGCACTAGAGTGAGCTCTGGTATCTCTGTATATCCCAGTGCCAACCGCATATATGACTTTGGTAACCCCTTAAGAATGGGGTCAATTGTCCAAGTTCTTAACCAAAAGAAAACCTAGATTTTGTGCTATGTGTTTCTTAGGCCATAATTTATGGGTTTCTCTTTAAATACATATAATATATTGCATTTGAAAGTAAAGAAAGGGCTTTTATTTATTATTCTATGTGTATACCCAACACATTAAGTGAGAATAAAACGTTGAAAATAGGAAAACGTTGTTTGCTTATATTTACAGTAAAATAATTCAAGAAGAAAAATGATATTGCAACCTCAAAAGTCAAACATAGCAAGATGGGGGGGGAAGCAATACGCTTAGAAAATCGATAAAGGGTTAACTTCTGTGCAGCTGGTTCATAAAACCACCATGGTTCTCTTGGTGGTATACACAAAACAACAATCGTAACAAGTGCATCAGAATTAAGCAGTGCATTAAAGTGCCATGGCATTCTATGAACCAGTTGTTGTATTAAGACAAGTACAACTGACAGTGGTTTGATAATAAACGAGAGGGAGTTCCACTAACTTCCAAATGGGAGCAAGGAATTCACTCATATTCAAACATCAACTATGTGGCAGGGTGTGGGTAAAGAAAAGAATCAGGTGAGAATATGTGTACAGTCCTCCAGCCAAATTTAGTAGGCCTGAATTGGGGAGAGGTAGGATATGAGTGGAGTAGTGTTGCTTTTTGCGCATGTCTGTGATCCTATTTGCATGACATACTTAAAGGGAGTATGTCATGCATACACACTAGGACAGAATAGGCAACCTTCGGCACTCCAGATGTTGTGGACTACATCCCCCATAATTCGCTTACACACATAATGCTGGCAAAGCATCATGGAAGATGTAGTCCAAAACATCTTGAGTGCCGAAGGTTGCCTATGCCTGCCTAGGATAACAGGCTGCCCAGCAGGGTAGCCAATCAAGGCAGCCTTTGTGGTGAGTGCTGCTTTGGGGCTTGAGTATGGGTTTATTCCAACCACGTAAGCTATTTGAAGTGTTTATAGTGGCTGGAGTCGATATGTGCAGTGTTTCACTATGAAATGCTGCACATACAGAGTGTAACCCCATTGGTTGGCAGAGCTGTAATTGCACCTCCAGCAGTGTCCTTAGCATGGAACAAAGGTTCCGGGCTGGCAAATGTCAATTCTGTGCAGTTTTCTTTTTGTTTTTTTTCTTGCAGTCTGTGCCATTCACTGCTAGAGCGGTCAGTTTACACTTTCTTCCAACAAACTGAGATTGCATTGGCTTCTGCAGCTCTGTAGAAGCAGGAAGTGCATCACCCAGGAGGAGAGAGAGCATCACAACACAACAGGTACCCGGATAAGAGGGCAAACCTTTTCCAAAAGGTTTGCTTTATTGCTGGGGAACCACGCCATGGTATTCCTGATATCATAACCACTATAGCGGGCTATAGTTGTTATGCTTGGAGTAACCCTTTAAATATCTTGCGCGTATGCAGCAGCTTGCATCATATCTTCAGACACCAAATGACAGGTGGACAGTCATGTTATCAGAAGAATTAAAGAAAAACCATGAGTCACACATGGTCACAGATAGATGATGCTTTGAGGTCTGCAGTAATAATACCAAGTTGCCATAAATAATACAATGCTAAGGGGATATCCGGTATTGTGCCACAAGGTAAAAGGTACAGCACCTACCACACAGGGTGAACAGAATCTTGCTCTGTCAAGCTATATATATATATTCAAAACAAAAATATTTCAGCACATCCTTTCAAACTATACCCCATTATAAATCACTTCATCAGTGCATTAGTAGTAACCATAGAAACTGTACACAAAGTGCTAAAAAGGGTGAAACAATATAAAGGCCTTAAAATTATATAAATCAGTGGTGTGGAACTTTTTTTTTTTTTTTAAATCTACTTTTCCAAGGGACTAAAGTTGTAGCCCAATCTACTTGTCCTGACACAAAAAAATAATTTAGATTACCAAGATTGGGGGCCCTTACCTAGAACCATGGACATTGACATGGCTATTTGATAAACCCATTTTCACATATTAAATCTGAATGGAAAAATGAAAGCAAAAATAGTTGATCTGGGGTCACAGGGCCTGACTGTCATGGTGGGGAGATGCATTTCATGCAAGCTCCTCCACAATTTTGCTAAAAACGGATCTTAATGATCTCACCTGCTTTGGAGAGGAGGACTGCAGTATTTGTTCTCACAATCTACCTGAAGCCTTGTGCTGCACGTTCTTGACTGGATGGGAATCTACTCCTCCCACCGTGGTAAATGCGGCCTAGTGCGTACTGGACAGGAGAGGGGGACGATCTCTTGGTCCGGAGGTGCCCAGAAGCTAAGGATTCCGAGCGAGAGCTACAGACACATCGTTTTTGTAAAGAAATAGACGATTGTGTACATGTTTGCTTGTTTCCTGAAACATAATGTCACCATAATAAACTTGGAAAGATCTTGTCAAAAAATAAAAGCTCACAGTTTACAATTTTTTAAGGTTAATATGTATCGCATTTTTTTCCACTTCCGTTTGCACATAGCTATCACATGTATATTTTACATAATAAAGAATGATGTAGGAAACATTTACAAAATAAAGCAATAAGTTAAAGCAGTGGTTTTTCTACCTACGCCCACTAATGCATCTTTCTTGATGGAAAAATTTCCTTACCGCCCACCAGTTTTTGCAGAATATTTTTTTTATAAAGGAGGGTGTTTTAAAAAAAAAAAAATAAATGTAGGTACATTTATCTTTTTATTTCTACTTTATGCATGTTTAT